TGTTTTTCTCAACTTACCCTGCTTTGAGCCTTTTGACCACGGCTCACCATAATTCAGTTGTTTGAATTGATGTTGCTGAACTTGATCAGGTGATGATAGATGCTTTTTGGAAAAAACCTAGACATGCCTATGCTCATTTTCAGAGAGCAACTCTGAGCTCAAGGCACTGGACTTGGTAAAGGTTAACTCTTGTCTAAAGACTGATAGTCCCTCTTGCATGGCTATTAGGATTTTACTGCCTTGTTTTTAAGGTGGAAAACATCCTAGCTCTGTATCTCATTACTGCGTGGTGGGAAGCTCTATAGTTCTTGGTATAGTTTAAGTCAACATTGTTTAAAACTTAAGTGTACATATGGTCAGATTTTTCAGTGTTCTATTAACTTTATATTTTTTTGAATATAATGTACCTTCAGTAGATCTGGACACCTAGTGGAGAAAAGGAAAGGTTTAGACAAAAGGACTGAAACTTAGAAAAATAACAATGTCTTATCTAACGTTTTGCAGTGGGAAAGAAGCTTTCCTTCAGTAAGGTACCCAGCAAAAATCTAAACTTCTAGAAACTGAAGTTTAGAGCATGTTTTCCTTCTTTTTTGCTTTTTGTAAGTGTAGGAAATAGAGAGGTAGCTGCTTATGTTGAGTCAGGAAGGAAACAAACCACTGGCAAGGTTTCTGCAATAACAGTGGACTGCTGAAGCCAGTTTCTTGCTGAAGACAGTTTCTTGCACTAAAGGACAGCAGGCTCTTGTGTTAAGAAAATCAAAATACTTTTTTATCCAGCCTGAATGCTATTTACTGTAATACCCCAGAGCTCCCTTTGACTGACTGTAAATGTAGTCAAAGGGTGTAGTCTCTTGACAAAGATTACAGCTTGTATGAAGAGACAGTAAGATGCTTGAATTTAGCTTCTGAGAGTCAAAGCCACAAGCTTCTATCAAAAGTGAGCTGTGTGCTTTCTTTTGCTCTATTTTAATGGAAATAGAGTTCTTGCAAGGCTACCATAAGCTACTTGAAAAGATGACATCAAAGTAGGTGCTGTGGCAACAGAGCAGCTTTATTCTTGGTCTGTTAGGAGCATGGGCAATGCAGTCCTGCTGGTGTGTGTTATGTTGGCGGATGAGGAAATTAATCAAATTTTGTTTGTGAAAGTCTCCTTACTTGTATATAGAAACAATTTCTAGACTTCTAACTGTCTAGCTTGGAGATTGACTGTAGTAACAGCTCAAAGACTGTTACCTGGTTATCCAAGCTACCGTCCTAGGACTGTCATTTGCTTCTGAGGTGAATTGGGAGCCTCCTGAGCTTGGAATTGGACTCAAAGTTGAATATGTTATAATAACATAAATGTAGCTGAAGAAACATGCTCACTGTGAATACAGGTTTTGCCCTGAGATCTATTAGCAAGCAATCAGTGCTTCCCACTACTAGTTTGTTGAGCACTAGCCAAATGGCTGTAGAAACTTTTTGGCATCTAAGTGGAAAAATGTAGGAGTGACTTAGGGGTCTGGCTTTGTCATCAGTTGTTTAACTATGTAATGTAACTTGGCACCCATTTTGACAATGTATATTGCAGTGTACTGGCTTGGCCATTAACTCCTCCAGCAGAATACAGACTGTTAGTTTGACAGTAGTCAGGGAAAGCCTAATGGTGTCTACATGTAGTCTAATACAGAGACAGTGCTACACAGAATCTGTCTCATCTTAGCATCTTTCTGTGGCTTAGGATTTTGGGCTGTGTGCGATTTCTGCAGAGCTGGTTTATTGGTCCCTCTGCAATGGTGCTTTATCTGTGATTCTGACTAGTGATTTTGGTTGTCTAATATCTTGGGTGATGCATAATCCTTTCAGGTTGAGGGCTTGCATTCAAACTGCTAAGAGACATGATTTTGGACTAGGAAGTTCTTGAATTTTTTTTTCCCCAAATGATATGATTATTACACTGCAGAAGAAGCAACTGCTGCTGTAATTCTGCTGAATTTATCAGAGGAATGAGCTGTGCTCCAGGGGCTGTGCCAAACTGGGTCATGAGTTTCATGATAGTAGACTTTGCAGGTCAGCAGGCCAGAAAACCAACACTATAATGCTGAATGAGCATGGGCAGAAATGCTTGTAAAAATAAAATTAGGCTGACTTCAAGTTTTGTGCCTTACTCTTGTCTCTATTCTAGCAGGCAAACAAAGCACTAGCAGTGCTCTGAATAGCTATTGGCACCCTTAGTGACTAAACAAGGATAGCTCTCAACATAAAATGTGAAGCAGAGCATAACATTTTTGATATCCTGCGTGATCTTGAAGTGACTCTTTAAGTTTCTGTTGACACTTCAGGATTGTCTCCTTCTACCAAATTCTTGTCCATTGATAACCCATACTTCAGGAGCTGTCTTTGCTTAATGAAAACTGTCTCTCCATGGTAGATGAAGGCAGTAGTACATGCAGAAACCCTTCCTACTGAAGGGCAATAATCCTTAGTGAGAAAGGCCCATATAGTAACTTCAGGTGTGAATATAACGTCAGGGGACCTAAGATGTGAGTGGGTTAAGCAGTATGAAACGGGACTCTCAAATTGCTTTTTTAAATAGATCCTAAACATGAGGTTTAGAAATTGATCTCAACAGATAGCTCAATTTCATATCCAGACCAGAGGACAGGGAATATGTACTTTAGCATATAGTTGTCAAAATGTGACTTGTAAGACATGTAATTTAATGAATGCCTTTTGACATGCTTTTCAGTCTGAACATTTCCAGTGCTTATGATCAAGATTGGAGAAGATTTTTCAACTCAAAAGGAAAACAAAGGACTCTGTCCTTTCCTCCAGCTTGCTAGCTGGGCTAGCATGTCAAAAGTTCAAAAGGGAGTGTAGAAGGTAAAGTGAGCTCAATTGGCACTTCTACCACCACATTGTACCTGTAAGCCTGATATGTTGTTTAGAGATTAACTTTATAGACTTCATGCCTAGAAGCATGAAAAGAGTTCCTGAAGACCTGGGAACTCATTGGTTTTTAATTGCTTTTATCCAGTCCTAATCCCTCTTGTAAGTAACTTGAGAGGAGAAAGGAGTATTTTCTGCAGGTGAGAACATATTTGTTAAATATTGTAAAGGACTTTTTCTACCTGAAACACTGACAAAGAGTTGATGTAATGTGTAAGGGTGAATTTGGTTAAAAAGCCAATAGCTGAAAGCAGAGGAAAATATTCCAGTACTTAACTCCAGGGAATCTCCTTCATGTACTCTGGGAAACCCGTATTCACTCTTGAGTAGAGTATTCTTACCCTCAAGACAAGAGTGTTTATTTATAAATCCTGACTTCTGGCATAAGTCTTAAGTGCAATTTTATTATTAGTGTCTTACCTGATCAACAATATTTTACCTGGGAAAGAGAGCTTGGATACTTTTAAACATTTATCAATAACATTGCATAACAAAATACTGTTCTGTACTTTATCACTTGTAAATTTTGGACTAACTTGCATAATGTGAAAGTGCACAACCAGCTTCTCAAGTACTTTTGAACTGTGACAACCAGAAACTTGTTATTGGCTGGCAGCAATACAACAACCCATAGTGACAGGTCTGCCTAGTGCAGGAATTAAAGCTGCAATTAAACTTGTTTTGAGCAGCCAAAATTATTGCCCAGTGATAGCTTAAGCATAACATCCTATGAAAGTTATTGTGTAGGGATATCCACAAAAACTGTGATCAGATCCTGAGTGAGATGGTTTACGAGATAAAAAAAATAAAACAACAAAAAGTAAAAAGTAAAAGGCACTAACAGAGAATGACTACTGTGCATCTGTCAAGAGGAAGACTGGGGGGTAACTCTAGTCCCATGTGAACATCAGCTTCCAAGGGTGCTCCTCAAGACTCTTTAAAGGCATACTAAGACTATTAGTGAATATGCAGTCTGACAACAGTAGGCTTTATTTTGTTGCTTCTGGTTGTGCATGGCAATTACAGCCTCATGGTCTTACTTGTAGGAAGTCATAACTCCTAGGAACGTTTTGGTAATGTTCTAGCCAGTTTGCTGATGGCACTAAATTTCAGAATATGGTCCTGGAACTTTTCGTTCTGGGGCTATCATTAAGAGAGGACTCTCCTAATGTCTACTTTTAAAATAACATGCAAGTTGGATTGCAACAGTGGGATTACACTGCACCCAAGAAGGAACAGAAGTAATACAGACTCTCTCACAAGTTAGGACTTGTATCAGGGTGCTTGTATATGTAACATGGTCTTGTGCAGCACTAAAACCTTGCTCCATTTGATGTCTCTTTCAACAGTGTTAGAGTTGGGTGCTGGCTCCTAGCCTTGTTCAACAAAGTTCTCCCTAATGTCCGTAATCACGCTCTACTTAGTTTAACTTTTTAGTCAAATAGTCTGATCTCTTCAGCACTGAATGTTGTATTGCATCTCAGCCTTGTTAGCTTCTTTGGAGCTACCCAAACTTGGCAGCTCGTGCTATCAAATCTTCATCTGTTCTAGATGGATTCACTGTAGGACTTACTGGTTTTGCTTCTAAAGATGTTGGAGGCCATGATTTATCAGGGAGTAGAAAAGTACAGGATGCTTGGTTCATGTCCTATGCTGGTATCTGAAACGCAGCCTTGAATGCAGTAAGAGAAGCGTGTGTGGATTAAGAAGACTTTCTTCCCCCTTCCCTCCTCACCTCCAATTTTGTACATATTGTGGATCCAGCTCCTAACAGAGTTGCTTGTGCAACCTTAGAACTATCTCAAGTGGCCAGCAAATCAGATATTTTGCTAGGTGATAGATGACAAAGTACCCATGATAAGGATGCCATATAAATGAGGCTCACAGTTACGCAGTTTGAGGTACAGCTTACTCATGTAGCTTAGAGCTTTATTTATATTTCTGTGTCTTGAGTGTTTCTCAATACTGTTGTTGTTGCCTAAATGGAAGTAATGTGTAACTTAACAGCTTGGTTCTTCTGGTTATCAAAACTTCTAATCTGTCTAATCAACAGCTTGTGTTCTTATTTTCAGACAAATCTACCTATATTCAAATTGAAAGAATCTACAGTCAGAAGAAGATATAGTGACTTTGAATGGCTAAGGAATGAACTAGAAAGAGAAAGCAAGGTGAGTAAAGTGAAAGGTAAATACAAGTCTATATACAAAGAGTAATGATGCTGAAATGTTATCGCCATGTTATGAAGCATATATCATATGGAGCAGATACTGTGGTTGAAAGTGTCCAGAAATAAACCAGTGTGTCAGTCTTTTTATCAAGCCTCAGTTTTACAATGCTAGAGGCTGTTTTAATGGTTTCAAGTTAATTCAGAGTTAAACTACTTGAATTCATCTCACCTCTTTGGACAGATGCTGGTCTTCTCTGCTCATATTTTATTACTTTATTAGGGATGTGATTGATGAGTTGAGTCCTCTAGGAGGAAGAGGTGGAACAGGTGTATGAACCTGCTTATAGGCTGCACTTAAGGACACTTCTGTAAATCTTTCAGGTTGTGGTACCACCTCTACCAGGAAAAGCACTTCTCCGTCAGCTTCCCTTCCGAGGAGATGATGGTATATTTGATGATTCCTTTATAGAGGAAAGGAAGCAGGCTCTTGAACAGTTCATAAACAAGTAAGTGTTGGCTCTAGTTATCTAGAGACAAACCCAGAGCTCCGCTCTGGAAAATTGCATTAAAGCTACTAATCCTCTAACTCTGGTAACTGCACTAGGTTCAGAATATTAACTTTCACATAATCTTGCAGTAGGACATACTAACATTGCTCATCCAGTGTTTAGTTTGGATATCTTAATGCTTACCTGAACAGCTGAAATGACTGTTACTGTTGTTGTTAATTTATGCAAATTGCTACTAAAATTACAGCATTCAAAATAGTTCTACTTTATAATTTCTGAAAGAGTATCCTCCACTGTATGAACAATGGAGCTTACAAAGGGGTTACAGCAGTTTACTTTGATAGCAGATGTGAGGTATTATCAGCTTGTGTAATGATGCATATTTTCTCTAATCATCATGAGAATCTTTCTGAAGATGTAAAAACACTACTCTAGGTAGGCATGCATAGTTCGAAATAGACACTTTGGGTTTTGTCACTGCCTTTCAAAAGGTGAGCAGAAATTATAGTAGCAAAGTATTATGATTCCGTTTCTGCCATCTGACACTACTAACAGCTGTCTGTACATGAACCTGAGTAGCTGGTTTAATCTCTTTAACAATGTGGATCCAAGCTGTGGGTAGGAAGGAGTTGCTGTCAGTTAATCAGCTCTTTTGGTCTCTAGACTCAACACTGTTCGGACCAACTGGATTTGAGACTGCTCCCTTTAAAAGTTCAAGCTTGTCAGTTCCTCTAGCATTCTAATCTTGTTCAACAGTTATGTTGTTTAACAGAGGATGCCTGTGAGTTACACAAGAACTTAAGAGAATATACTTGTCAGCTACTGTTAGTCAGTTCAGGCATGTGTCTTGGAGCTGCACGTGACTAGTTTACTAAAACTCTCTGTTTTGTGCAAGTAAGCGTGACCATATGAAATCTCTTCGGTTTTTCTTCACATAGTTGCTTGGTAGCTCGATTTAGAGGTATCGATAATGATTCTGAGCAGGTAAAATGCTTCAGACTGTTCTTTGTGCTGTTCAAAGACAAGCGGAATGAACTTCCAAGGCGTCCAATAGTAAAGTGGAACTTGTTTGGGTTTTTTAATGCTGCAAAATCAAGGCAGTCATGACTGTAAAGTACAACTTTTGTCCATGCAGGCTTGGAACTCTACCTTAAATAGTGAAGAAGTGCAAACTTTTGTATGCCGAGCCTAGCAACATGTGTGCAAGAGGGCTGTTTGTGTTCTGAAGCAGCTGAAACAGTCATCTTACCTTGACTCTCTGAAAAACTCAGTATAGCTGACCGAAATGGTCAGTTTATGGGCATCACTTGTTCAGTCCTACAGCAAGTAATAAATTGATTTTGTGAAAGTGTAAAACTTCTTGGTTAATTTTTCCTCCTTTGAAACATAAAAGCAGATTGTTAATGTAGCTGCTGATGTAGTGGCAGACTTGAGTACAGCTGGAATAGGACTTTTCAGGCACAACTCGTGACTATTCAACCTCATCAATTTATTCTAATGGCATGACCAACTCAGGAAGCAAATATTACTAAAGATTTGAACCACATAGAAACCTTAAGGCTTCTACCAAGTACTCTGGGTACTAGTAAATTAGTCCTGAAGGTCATTTGCATAGTACATTCACATTATTGCACTCTCAATGCTGGTCTTTGCTTCTAGAACTAGAGTTCCTCAGATAATTTATATCACTGTAACAAAAAAGAAATATCTTAGTGCACCAATGCCAATTCTTGATATCCAGTAGTGCTGAGATGGATGTTATTGAGAAGCTTTGCCTCTCTAGATGTAAAATCTAAATCAAGACAGTACACCTTATTTGAGCCAGCTGTCTTGGGCCAGCTTGCTGGCACCACCATCAGTAGTACGTACAATGACATTCAAGGGATGGCTGTGTCTCAACACTGTTGTCTGCCTGAACCTGACTTTGAGATACATGAAAATTCTTGAAGTAGCAGCTGCTACTTGTAAGGGTCACCTTTGTGAAAAATATTGAGGGAAAGTCAATGCTGAGCAAGGTATTCCAATTGAATCTGGGATCAGATCTAGTCTTGCAATTCAGACACCAATTTCCAAGCTTTCCTGAAAGGGAGAAGAAATATGCTGCTTCCTCATCATCCTCTCCTATATATCTTTCCTTTGAAGTTCAAGGCCAGCAACTTCAGTCTGATGAGGGTAAGAAACTCTAACTAGTTATTCTAGACTATCATCCTTGTGAACTAGTGCTTAAGCCTACTGGCCATTTACTAGAACCAACAGGATTGATAAGTTTTATAACTGCACTTGAAATAATCATCGGTACTGAATAGGAGAGCTTAGCTTCCTCATTACAGGTCACCCTCAATGACAAGTGAATATGTCCTGTGGTGAAATAAACACTGATAGATAAATTTGGAGAAGATGCACAGAAGTTCTTGGAAGTACTGGTGGTGAGCCACTGGAGCTTACTGTGTATTACATGTGTTCAACTAGATCACTTCTGTTAAGAGCAGAAATGTTCTGACAGACATGGAGGCCATAAGGCTGACACAAGCAGCCCTAGGGAGGATGGGGGACTTTAAGAGAAAAAGTCGGAAGTCTCTCTTGATTGAGCAAACTGGATGTAGCTTTTTTAAACCAAACTGCTTTACGTTTTCATGTTCATAAGTCTCATGTTCATGACCAACTTTCAGGTATCTGATTCCCTTGGATTTTTACCAACACAAGAGTCTGCATGGTATTTTAAGGGTTTGAATGCAGTACCTTGTGGTTTACTTCCAAGTTTGGGAGTGTCTCCTAATTCAATTTCAACCCCTTTCCTATTAAAAGGATGGTGTCTCAGTTTATGTGTGAAACAAAACCCACAGTACAGATACTGGTCTCTCCCAGAGCAGACGAACTCTGTCTACTGTGTTTGATAACTAAGACACATGCAGTGAACAGAACCCTCTGGCTTCCCTACAGGAGAGGAGCACTGATGGAGCGGAGTCACTGCCCGGAGCAGTGCTGGAGCCTTCAGAAGGCCTTTGCACCCCCTGGTGGAGCAAGGCTTCAGCTCTGCCGGGGCGAACTGCTGCTCAGTGGGATGAGAACTGAGTGGATAAGCAGCCTTTAGAAGAGGGTCCTGTGGCACAGGTGTCAAGACCCGTAAAATAAAATCCATTTGCCTTCCTTAACTCCAGATTCCCTAATGTTAGGATGGCACTTGGATAATCCCATCAATTGCAGGTGATAAATGATGACATAACATGCTTCCAAATGATCAGAGGTAGCTCACATGAACTAACTTCATCTGGGGGAGCATGACGAATCTTGCTGCTAGACATCATTCTAGTTGCCAGCAGCGAACTGAAGGTGGGATTCATGCCTAAGTGCAGAACAACAGGTTACTGGTACAAAACCTCTGTCTCCTGGCTAGCTGCAAGTAGGCTCGATTGGTTGACACTAATGCTTGTTTTTTTCCTCTCCAGGGTTGCAGGCCACCCACTGGCACAGAATGAGCGCTGTCTTCACATGTTCTTACAAGATGAAGTAATAGACAAAAACTACACACCATCCAAAATAAGGCATACTTGAATTCTAAAACTGTCTTCTTAAACATTAGTGGTTCTTAGGCTTGGTTTTAAGAGGTTATAGTTTGTCTTAGCATGCTGAGGATGAACAGGCACGAAGTCTCCAGTAACACCAGTACACTGCTTGGTCTTTGCATATGCTTTATAGCATTTAAGAACTCACTTGTCTTCTAGCTAACTCGCTCTGAATCCTTCATTTAAGAGTATTATACTATGAGACCATCCATCCACCCCCTGCAACATCTCACAAACCCTTCCACTATTATTTGCAATGACTTAACAATGTTTACTGACTTGGCCTTACTTGAACTTTCACAATTGTAGTGTCACGTGTTCACCTGTATTTGACTAAACTGCTATGCTGTTTTTGAGGTAGTCACCTGTCTGAATGTCTGTAGAAAGACTGCTTTATTTCTGATATCCTGTGTGAGAAACACTTATGCAATTGTCTTCAAGCTTGTAAAACACTTTATACTGAAGTAATGAGGGAATTATCTTTATATTCTGTAAAAGGAAAAAATCAAATTTATATACTAAAGTAACTTGTCTAAAGTTTTGAAATAAAAGTGAAAATGCACTTCAAATGTTTTGTCACTCTTGACCTTGAGCGTGGGGTATCTCATGCTTTCTGAGAAGCAGGGATTTGACTATACTAACTGAACTGGTATTACAACCTTGCTGTGATGCTCTTCCACAATGTAGTTTGGTGTTACTAACAGTGAGGACTAAGAACCCTGAGACGATGGCACTCACTCTGCAAGTGTTAAAGAACATATAAAGGTATCGAAGGCTGTTCCTGTGGTGTGGAGCCAAAGCTGGAATACCATTCATGGTAGGTAGTCAACAGATCTGGACTTTAGCAACTCTGGGCAAAGAGTACCTTTCTGCTTGGCGTGAGAAGCATCAGTCTAGCTTCAGCTAGCTGGTGAAAACTATACCATCCCATAGAGAAAGGAATGTTGACATAACTTCATTCCTAGATAAAAGTAACTCTGCTCTACAATTACAGTTAGGGCCATGAAATCCGGTAAGTCTGCTCTGAGATGTGACATAGCCCACTTCCCAAAAGGAGGGGTGAGCTGCAGCACTGTGCTTGTGTGACCACTGGTGCAATGCAGATAGTCAGCAACTGAACTGCAGGTCACAAGCAGCACTTCTGAGGTTGACTTTTTCATGAGAAAGAAGTGAGCTGGAGAAGCTTCCTTAGTCTTCCACATGTGACACACAATTTACCTATCCATCTTGAAAACAGATTCAAGAATATTCCAGTAGCAATCTACTCTAGTGTTTTGTGCTGCTTGGTAGCTACATGTTGGCTTAGACTTGACTCTGCTGCTTTTTTTCTTCTTGCAATACTACTTATCGCTGTCAAGAGCATCCTACAAACTTGCTGACAAAAGTTATTAGCTTCTTTTTACTAAGGCCACTAACCTCACTTTTGGAAATCTGAATGTCAAAGACTTAACTGACAAAGCAGTGGTGGCCAACTGGATGACGTATAGTACTAGTGATTAGCTACACTGAATAGATAGGTGTTTGAATGATTGCTCTTTCCACCTTGTACTTAACTAAGACTGTGCTGATTCTCTCTAATGGTCCCACTCATTAAACCAGGGACCAAAACTGACCGAGTCCACTTGCAGCCCGGGGATGTCCAGCTTTTCAAGATGTTTGTGATAATGTAAAATGATTTCTAAAATTCCCTGTGCTTGTTGAATCACACTTAAAAGTTGAATTACTCTTGAAAAAGAGGAAAGAAGGGTTATATGTATATGAAGTTTCATTATGTAGGTTTATATACAGAGCAAGATGTTCTTTTTCTCTTCTCAAACATTCTTTTCTGAGAAGTGCTTCTCTCAGAAATGAAAGTAAATGCCTCATCTTATACCTAAAGTATGATGACACAGTCTGTATCATTTGCCATGAAAAGAAAAAAAATAAGCCAAAGAGGGAAAAACTGCATGCTTGATGTCAAAGTATTCCTATTTCCAAAGTGAGGACTTTAGAGTGTTAGCCTCTGAGAATTACAGGACTCTGGGATATTACCTGGCCTTAAGTCCCTTAAAGCTAACCAGAGACCCTAATTGTAGTGTAGTGTACTGGTTCTGCTTCTGTGCAATCTGCTGTAGTGGGAGCAAGACATAGTCTGAGATTAGCTGTGCATAAACCACAGGGATCTGGGCATTGTTCTCAGCTCGTGAGTCTTTTAAAACAATTCTGCAGCTGGGCTAAGTTCTCCAGGTAAGAGGGTGAGATATGGGTGTGCTCCCATTGTTCTGCCTGTTTTGCAGCTGGAAGAGAGCCAGTACGCTCTGTTTTGTCCTCTAACTTGGGTGAGGTAGGGACTACAGCACACTGCAGAGCACGGTTGCCTGGTTGCCTTGCAGCAGGGATGCAGTTTGCGTTTATTGCTGGTCTGGGACAGCAGCATGAATCTTATTGAAATGAATGTTCTGTGATGGGTTCTGTGCAACACTGAGTTCAACTTCTTTAGCTTATAAACTGAATTGCCACAGAGTAGAGAACCACAGTTGATTTTTCTGCCCTATCTGGTTATTCTTATTGTAGAGAGCAGAAAATGGTATAAGGTTATTACAGGTGCAGGAAGAATGGTTTATAAAGTGTTTGATGGTTTCTTTTTAAGAAAGTGCTGTGCCCTGTGGTAAAGGCATTCTCAAGTGCTCCATGCTAGTTTGTATAGAAGATGTTTTGAGGTCCTGTAGTCTGCGCTTTGTCTCACTGGACTTACCCAAACACTTGTCTTGTGTATTTTATGATCTGGTTGTCTTGGAAAAGATAGAATGTGAGACCTAGCAGAGTGCAAATGGAAGAGAGTTGGGGTGAAAACACGTGAGAATTTTGAGCTTGGAAGTCAACAGAGCTAGGATTGCACTCATGACCTCTACTCCTTGACACTGCAAATCAATGACCCATTAATATACACTGTATATTTCTACCTGTCATTTTAACATGCATGACTCTTCAGTCACTCATTGCCGTATGAACAATGTATTTCCCTTCTCCTCTTGCCAACTTTTTCTGTTGACTAGGAGTTGCTTACCTCTTTCTTTGGTGTGATTACACAATTGGGCACCTTAATAAAACCTCAATCTTTTTAATTGAAGCAGTGCTTTTGTACTCATCATCCTTTGTTAGTTGCGCAATTCACCAATATTAAAAATTGTAATAACATGAAACAGAAAGCAAATACTTTTAGATCTCTGATGCACTTAGTTGTGTCCTAGAAAAAGCTATATGTCACCTCCTTGAGAAGGGAATGTTGCAGCCAGTGTATATTTGGATTACAGGGAACAGCTCTATGCAGAATCTCAAAAGTCAGGATCACCTAAGCTACTCCTTTGATGTTTGTCTAACCTGTTTTTCAAACCTCTGATGATGGAGACTCCACAGCATCTAAGGCAATCTATTTTAGTATGGATTAGAGAATATTTCTATTCCCTGGTCAGTGGGGTACAGTGGAAGAGGCTAACTAAGAACAAGCATTAAAAGAACACTGGAAAGTACTTTAAATTCAATATATTTTTATTCTTTGTAAATACAATGAGTACAACTTTTTAACTTCACAAATCGGTTAATCCACTTTGTACAGGAAAAGTTTTACTCATTCTATGATAGTCCAAGTGCTGATCTTTCTCAGTGCTAGTTCCTAATAACAAATTTTGAAAAGTACAGCAGCTATCTTTAAATGTTTTTTTTTCTACATTTTTCATACATCAAATAAGCAGCTTATAACGTTTTTGTGTGTGAGAGGGTATAGGTGAACAAGGCTTCAAAATTAGAACCTGGAGTATTCTAAAAAGGCAATGGAGATTTTTGGAAATTGTTAGCATTGTATCAGTCAACAACTTTTATTTCTTTGAAATAAAATTCCTTCCATTGATTTTTTAATAGTCATTTCATTTCTCCACACATCTCATCGACAAAGAGTTTGGCCACCGTTGCCTTTGGTTTCAGCACTGTGCCAACGGGACAGCCAGCAGGTCACTGAAGCGGTCATCTCCACTGTATTTGGTTTTGCTGTTTTAGTCTTCCTTTCTTGACTTGTATCTTTTCAGGGGTGGGTGGGTGTGAATGTGTGTCTGTGTGTGTGGAAGAAGAAGGAGGGAAGTTCGGGGAGGAAGTTTATAAAGCTCTTGTGTCTTTGAGATGTTAACTGAACAAATTGTGACATGCGCGTCAAAGATCACCAGTTCATTTTGTAGGAAGAATGGAGCTCCCATCGTAAGCTACTTTTTAATCAGTTCTGAAGGCCACTTCATGATGTATTATAGCAGAAGCAATGTTTTGGTAACCTGGTCTTAAATGTTGCCTATCGTATTAAAAACATTTTCCCAACATAGGCTACCTTTAAAACAATTCTGAAGGCCACCGCATCTTGTGTTACAACAGAAGCCAAGTTTGGTCACTCAGTTCCAAATACTGAACAAACTAAAGTACCTTCTTTCACATTTTGTCTCAGATCTGCCAGTTAAATGAGAGAATAGCAGAGTCTTTGTTAACTATGACTGGCATCTGAATTGCCTCCATCCTGTAGTAACAGGAATAGCAGCCAAATTCCAACCACTTTCACTTTTTCTGTAGAACAAAGCATTCTCTCCATGATCTAAATCACTCTGTTCAGAGCAGCAGAATCATATCTACTGGGGTGGTTTTTGTCAATGAGTTTAAGGGCTAAACATTCCCAGGCTTATGCTTCCTGTAGATTTTGTTAGTTGAGGCTTATTCTCCATAGATAAAAGTTCTTCTCAAACTGTCCATCCTGATTGTTTATTTTAAGGTAATTTATATGTCACTGGATTTGTACATATCTGAAAGCAGTCTTGTAATTGGTACATTCCCAATGGTCTTTTTGAAAAACACTTCTTCTATTGTAGATGGACTAATTGAACGTAAAGCTGGTAAAAGCAATAAAAGTTTCCCAAAACGACAGGGTTGTGTGGGATACCTGGGAGATGGAGAGAGAAAGAATGTTATTGAAGTTTTCAAGTATTTTTTCAGAGTAAGTATTTTATTTCATAGAAAAGGACCAACATTCAATAAACTGTACAGATGGTGCTACCCATGGTAAAGCCCTGTGTTTTGTACTCATGTGAGCAAGAAGATTGACTCCAAAGAAATCTCTATAGCTGTTAGCAGAATATAGAACAAAGTTTCTGAGTTTTGTTTAGCTCCTTTGTTTATTCCCCTAGAGCAATAGCAATATAAAGACTGGATCTGCTCTGATGTGTCCCTCATACGACAACTATGTTCTTGATGCAGTTCAGGGAAGAGCTTGACCTGTAATAACTACCCTCTCATTTAAAGTGCAGTTTAAACCTAGCCAGATTGTCATGGTAGTCACTTTGCTCCTTTTTGGTTGACATATGTATTGAATGCCAGTTGACATTTTTGAAGAAAATTTTAGTTAAAGAAGCTATGTTTATCCCCAGGTAGTGTGTTTGTGTACAGGATATTTTCCATCCTTTCTCCCAGGTTTTGAAGCCAACACAACACAGGATGTGCGTTCTAGCTGTGCTTACGCTGACTTTACACCAGCGATTCTCAAACTTCGGGTTACAGTGGTCTCCCTGAAAGGAGCAGTAGATCGTTTGGAGAAATGTGCTGCTTCTCCAGACTGCCACCCCTTGCATCCTGTTGACTCCACTGAAATCAAACAGCTGATACTGCTGTAACACTGGCAGGAAGGTAAATTCAAGCCTGAGGATGAAATGCAAACTGAAAGCCCTCTCCCAGTGAAGTCAAAGTGACAGTCCTGTCAGAGGACTGCAGATTTTCTCTTGTAAAAGGCTATCTTTTACCACAGATATTGTTTAGCCCAGTATCTAAATACTTCCAACAACACAGAAATGCAGCAGAAAAATTGCCATGCCTGGAATGGAAACAGTGGCTGTGTATTCCTCCCTGGCTTCTCTCTCCAGCAGGCCCTGTCTCAGGCTAGGGAGCAATCTTCCCGGAAAAGGCCTTCCCTAAGAGCAGGAAGAGGCTGCTATGCAGCAGTTATTCTTTTTGTTCTGAAGCAGCCATAACTGGATGGAATTTGCATATTTAGTCCCATCCTCAGTCAGGCCATTCCCTTTAGACTAATAGAAGTGATCAGAGACTGCTGCCATCTAATCTCTGATGTGGAGTAGCCTTCTGCCTGACAGAGCTATTATGACAGCAAATCAAAGTTTCAGAAAGAAAAGATGGTATTGAAGTTTCTCTTTCAGGGCTCCCATCTCCCACTGTTCTAGTCTCATGGACCTTCACTGCAGCTAAACAACAAGCCCTGTGACAACCCTCCCTGGGTGTCCTGAACCAACCAGGGCAGCGTTGCAGAAGATATTGGGTAACACCTTCAGGCTTCTCCACTGTCACATGACTCTGAAGTGGTCTGTAGCAGGAGGTTACTGATCTGTTCCCAGCCAGCTGTTCTAGAGTGTGGGGTTGTACTTTGCACATTTTCTGGGCTCACCCTCATACACTTTGTGGAATGACAGCTACAGCTTTTACAGCAGGTTTTAAGATTTCTGTATCCTATGGAACTTGTCCCGAATTAGACAAGGGGAAATATTTTCTTCCCAGACAATGATTCTCATCACTCTCCTGCTGCAC